GTAATATTATAAATTTATAATTATGATACATCGTTATATAATTTAATAATTAATTTTACTCAAGAGTCACGTATGATATTATATTTTTTTTTTGAATAGCACGCATGATATTGGATTTTTTTTTATTAAACTCTCAATATCTAGTAATTACATTGAGTCCTAACTAATCCGGAATAAAATTGGATTTTAACTAATCTGAAATGAAGTTGCGTTGGATCTCATTAAGGGAAACTCTCTTAGCACCTATTTTTTCATTCATAAAATTCAAATTCGAAAACTTATTTAACAAGAACTAAACTCCTTCCATTTCAGACCAACAGGTCGTTGGTGTATAATATTAGATATGCATATATGTTTATTTAATATTATACAATCATTATAAAATTATAATTTTACATAAAAAAAATAATATTATTAAAAAATTGTAATGTTTCACAAGTAATTTTATTTAAAAAGAAGTAGCAATCTTTTTTTTTTTTTTATTAACTTCTTAATATTTGAAGTATTGAATTTTGATTAATTTAAAATCAAGTTGCATTGAACCTAACAAGGAGGAACTCTTTTAATGCCTATTTCTTCGTTTAAAAGAGTCAAATTCAAAATTTTATTTAAAAAAAATCAAATTTATTCCAGTAATACTAACAGGTTGTTAGTAGTAACAATCTTACGTAATAATGAATATAATTGATCTTTTGATTTATTTATTTTTTTATATACTAAACCAAGTAATTCAAGATTGTGAGAGAAGGGGGATGAGGAGGAGGAGGAGCACATAATTGAATTGTTATTATAAAGGTGGGAAAACTTTTTATATTAAGACTAAAATCATTTCAACTATTAACATTTTACTATTGGTCCTTTTACTAGACTAGCATATAAATAATATAGATTTACTTATTATGTGTTTGATTTAATTATGAGGTAAAATCATACGTATATGAATCAACTCCGATTAAAAAGGGAAAATTAGAGAAAACAAGTTACAAACGAAAACCCACTTTTTCACCATTAGAAGTTGATTTTTAAGTTTCTTTATATATAGTTTCTTGCATGGTCGGAATTATGATAAAATATATATATATATACCTTCTTCCCCGGGACGCGTGGCTTTGAAAAAAGAAAAAGAAAGAGCTTTTAAATGGAATTTATTTTTCATTGTCAAAGAAATTGATTCTGATGAGTAGGAGGTGCTAGTCTATTCAATCGAAGAAAATGAAATATGATACCCCTGCTTCTATTGATTACACTTTTGTCAACCACTTTATTTATTTATTTTTTCTTCCAAAATGAATCATGTTAGCTGTTTCTATTGATTACACTTTTGTCAACCTCTATTTTCTTCTTGCCTATTTTTTCCATTGATACAATGTTATGTGCATCACTAATTTAAGTGGATTATTTAGGTTTCATTTGAATTCACATCCATGATTTTGCATATCTAGATTAGTTGTTAAGATAATAGACATTGATTGGTATATTTTTTTGACTTAAAATAGACATTGATTGGTATTTTTTACTTAAAATTAATGTAAATAAATTTAAAAATATAATTATATACATAGGATGTAAGAGTTAAAAAAATTAATTATACTTATATTATATATTTTAATAATTAAACTATGTGAGTATTAAAAAATGTGTAAAATTAAAAAGAGTATCAACCAATTTTTTAAATAAAATATAAA